TTTCCCAAGTCCCTGGGATTCATTCCCTATAATGCCTGGAATCCCCATGCTGGCCATCTACCCACACATTCCCTCATCCACCCAACTACTTATCCATCTATCCACTTATTCAAGTACCTTCCAACTGCCAGGCCCTGTTGTGGACACATGGTTCTTGCCACCCAGCAGTATATGAGCAGTCTGAATTCACCAGGCACCCTCTGTTCTCCCATCCCCAGATTCTGAGATTGGCAGGCACCCCCCATTCCCCATCTGAGATCCAGGCACTCAACTCCCCAGCCCACTTTCTCTTTGAAAGGGAGGTTCCATGCCACTCAGACCCTGTTCTCCTGCCAGCTCTGGGCACACCAGAGAGGTGAGGTGGGGGCCACATGGCTCATCCCAGGGGACCAAGGGGAATGGCCCAACCCAATCCTACTGGCCCAGCAGGGTGGGGCAGGAGAGGGGCTGGGCTGGGCCAGAGCCCCAGAGGCTTGGAGTGGAGCAGGATAAAGTGAAGCCTGGGTGCCTGACCGGTCAGACTGGGGTGTGGGGAGGGAGTGGGACAGAGGGAGGGAGGGAGGGAGGGGACAAGCCAAAAGAATAGAGCTGAGGAGGCTCCTGGAGGCAGAGCCCTCTAAGAAGGAGAAGTAGGAGGTTGGTTCTGAAATCAACATGGGTGGGGAGGGACAGGGAGCCCTCATGCCAGGGAACCTCCCAGTGGGAGGGAGTAAGGGTGGGAAGCTCTGAGAATAGCAGCCATGGGGGCAGGTGACTCCCTGGCCCTGGCCAACCTCACACCTCACCTCATACATTCCTGAGAGCGGGGGAGCCCAGAAGCAGCAATGCCCTGCCCCACTGTGTCCCTCACTCTGGAGGAGCCACCACCAGGCCCCTCGCCCTCCATCCCACTGGCTCCTGGCCACCCCTTCTCTTTCCTCTCTGCCTCCCGCCTCTCCCCAAGGCCACAAGCCCTTTTCTTTGGTGAGACTTAGTCCCTGATTCGGGGTGGGGTGGCGCCATGAAAGACACAAGCAGGCAGGAGAGACTCCCTTCTAGAATAGGTCTCCCCATCACCCATAAAACTCAAGGCTAAGCCCCACCCCTTATTTCCTTCCAAACAGGAAGTCCCTCCCCCCAGAGCCTCAAACAGGAAGTCCCACTCCTCCCTCCAAAATAAAAGTGGTGACTCCCCAGCCTTTCTATCAGTCCCCAGCCAGAAGGGAGCTGCGTGCCTATCTGACTCGCAATTTCGTTCCTCCCTTTTCAGCTTGCTGACATTCCTATGTTGAAACCTGGCCCTCGAAACAGGAAGTTCTGCCCACCGTGCCGCCAAACTGAACGTGCATTCTCCCCTGAAGGGCAAACTCCTGCAGATCCTGCTCTCCTGTGCCTCCCCTGTGCCCCACAGCCATCCTCTCCAGATTCTGGCTTGGTGGCTGCAGGGAGGACTCAGCCCTCCTGGTGTTCCGAGCACAGAGAGCAGAACCTCAGGGACGTGCTTTCTTGGCACTAGAAGTCCTAGGATCCTAAAGTAGTGTACACAGTGTCTAAGGATGTTACCTCCAAAGGCTGGCGTTCCATTCTCCTCAGTACGGAGAAGGAGGTGGGAACCCGGAGGAGACCCACTCCCTATTTGCCTCTCCAGCGCACTTGCCAGTAAATTCTTAGGGTTGGCCAAATGATCGCTAAATCTGCAAGAACTCTGGAATTTGACAACAATGACTCCCTTCAAACTCTAAAAAAAAAGTCTACGATTTGACAATCCTAAGCCAGGGAGTCCCACCCAGCTCTCTCCACAGAGAGGGAGTGGGTCCCAAATCAACTTTGCCCAGTGGTTGTGCCCAGGCCAGGTTTCACTGTTGAAGAGGTCCTCTCCAAGTTCAACTTGGGGGAAGGACACCTACCAGGTAGTTTTATGCAGTTGGCCCAGGTGCTGGGTGGAGATCCAGAGCCCACCTACCTATCATCATCGCTGTCCAGGTGGCCACTGATGGCCAGCATGGAGCGGGCCAGGCTGAGGCTCTGGGCTGCTGCTGCTCCAAAGGGGTCTGGAGACTTGTGAACCAGACTGGCATCGGGGAACAAGTAAAGGGCTGGGGAGCCGGGGCGAGAGTCGAGTGGGGGCACCTGGAGGCAGAGAGGTAGGAATCATCACATCAAGCGCAAGAAAAGAACCGGCCACCTTACAGCTTGCCTAGTAGTCTTCCTCATCTCTCCCCACATACATCCGTTCTCTTCCGAGGACCCAGGAGTCCTGACCCAAAGCCCTTCTCTCGCGCCCAGGTCTGGTGGAGGCATTAGGCAGGTATCAGAGGCAAGGGAAACAGTGTGCATCCCTAAGACTGGGTGTGAGCAGCTTCCAAAAAGTGGCTCACGGGGTACTAGAGTACTAGAGAGGGGGTCTGGCAGGCACTCCAGTACCCTTCCACCAGCTGAACCAGGACCCCCCAATCAGAGGCTAGTCGGAGAGTGTCTGGGCCTTCTGTCATCTGACTTACTAAAGCAACTCAAATGTCACTTCCTCAGAGAGGCAGTTCCCCATCACTGGACTAGTGAATTCCACTGAACTGTTCTATGTGTGTTTTGTTTGTTTGTTTGTTTTTTTATAGCACCTAATAGTATCTGAAATTAAAGTATTTTTGCCTCTCTGCTACTAAAAGGTAAGCTCTAGAGGATAGAGCTTATAGTTTGTTCAATAACTATTTGTAGAATGAATGAATCCTCAGAAACTGGTCCTCCCCCCCCCCCCCGCATCCCCCCCCCCATCTTTTCTAGTCTCTACTCTCAAACTTCTCAGATTCAGGTGAGGTTCTGCTCCTGCACTGGGCCCTGGGGGTGGGGGGAGCGGTTAGGTTGCGGAGATGGGGGGGGGGAGGTGGAGCCTGGGCATGGACCCACACAGCCCAACAGGCGCTGGGGTGGCTGCAAAAGGGCGGGGGCCACAGGAACAAGACGCCTCTGTGAGGCCCCAGGAGGCCCCTGCTTCTCGGAAAAGCCAAGAACAGAGAGTCCAGAGTGGTTAGAAGGACACAGCAGAGGAAGGGGGCCCAGGTGGTGTCCCCCCGCCCTCCTCCCAGCCTCTCTCCTGAGAGAGGGGAGCCAGACTTCGGGGCACGTGCACACAGGATGTGGGTTGAGGAGAGGGGTCTGGGGGCACTAAGGACAGACGGGCAGGGTCTGCAGGTCCAAGGGAAGCTTGGCCAGGGCTTAATGACAGAGGGACTGGGGCAAAGGGGACTTGCTTTGTAACAGCATGGGGACAGGGACCAGTAAAGGAAACAGCATCTTCTCCCCTGGAGTAAGAACTGACTCAAGAAAAGTAGGGGGCGCAGCATGAGAGATGTGAGCTTGAGGCCAGGAGGGGGTGGGGGAGCCGGTCCTGACCGGTCCTGACAGGGCCCAGACATCCAGTCCCAGGTTATTTTTATACTGTGGTTTGTGCCCAAGGCCAGGAAGGGGGAAAAGTTCTCATTCTCACACTCCCTGCCTTTTCTTCTGCAGTCCAAGGTGTTATTTTCTCCTTCAGGACAGACACATCCATCCCCCACACCCCTGGCTGCCCACCCCCACCCCAGGGACCCAAGCATGCTGCCCCCCAGCCCAGACTTGTTCCTCTTTTGGAGACAGGAAGCAGAAAGAGCAAAGGATTTAACTCTCTCTGGGCTGCTTCCTGCTTTTCTCCCATTCCCCAGTGGCCACCCCCAGTTATCAGTCGTGGAGAGGCCTAGATGCAGGGTCCCAAGACACACAAGTCAGCCAGGGAGACAGTGGGACGACCACTTTCTACCCCTCCCTGCCAACCTCGGCAGCTCCCAGAGGCCCAAGCACCCAGCCCCACCTAGGACCTCCACCCTCAATGCCTGAAGCCAGAAGGGGTGAAACCAAGACAGAAGGTAAGGGCCAAAGTGAGGAGGCCACATCTCTGTGATGGAGAGACAGGACTTGGCTATTAGGAAACGGAGACCTGGGCCAAAGGTAACAAATTAAAGGCTAAAGAGAAAGAAAGAAGGTGCAGAATGTAGGGGAAGAAGGAGCCTGAGAAAGAAAAGAAAGGCTGTGTGGGGAGAAGGATGGGCTTCCCAGGGAAAGGGCAAGAAGAGAAAAGAGAGGCTACCTGATGGGACAGACAGGTGGGGAGAGGGTGGCATGGAGGTGGAGGCAGGAAGGCCCAGGCTGGGGACCCAGGCTGAGATGGGCAAGCACCACCCCTCAGGTGTCTCCCCCACCCCAGAACCCAGCTCTTACCTGCCCCATCTCCTCTGGAGCGACCAACTCCATCCTCAGCCGCAGGGCTCCATCCTTTGACCGGGACAGGGGAGGGGTCCCTGTTGCTGAGCCCCCAGCCTCCGCTTCCACCCTCAGGGATGGCAGGGGCGTGGCAGCCCGGGATGGGCCCGCGCTATCCCCAGTCCGGGGCTCTGGGGGGCGCTGCTGGGGTGGGGAGGCTGACAGTGGGGGTGTCTCCACCTTGGCCTTGCCAGGCATTGCCAGCTGGCCCAGCCCCCCGGTTAAGGAGCGGGCCTGAGGTCCAGGGGAGGTGGGGGGCGGACGGAGCCAGGAGGTGGGGCCCTGAGACAGGCCTGGCTGTGGAGTTGGGGCACCCAGGCCCAAGCTGGCCAGCTCCAACCTGGAATCCAGAGATCTGCCCCCAGTGCCTCCTGAGGCCCCTCGAATTCCCTCCAGGAGCCGGCCAAAGCCTGGGGGCTCCAGGTCTCTCTCGTAAACATCCACACACGTCCAACGGCCTCGGCGGTAAGGCTCTCCCAGGCCGTGGGGCAGCTTTACCACCCGGAAACGGGAGGCAGGGGCCCCAGGCGGTGGGGAGCCATTCCGGGGGGTGCTCTTGCCCCCCTGCTCGGGGTTGGGCTCCCCATTAGGCAGGCGGGGTGGGGGCCCAGTGGGGGTGGGCAAGGCAGGGGGCTCAGAACCCCCTGGGCTCCCTGGGCCCTCATAGTCCGTGGTGACGCTGGTGATTTGGAAACTACTCTTCTTCTTGCCCCCACTCATGGTCCCTGGGGCTAGGACTCGGCCAAGGTGGGCGGGGGTGCAGCTGGGGCTCCTCGAAGGGGCTCAGGCACCCCTGGAACAGGGGGGCCACATGGCGGGGGCATCAGGGCCCCTGGGGACATCTGGGTCCGACATGGCCGGAGGGCCCTGCAGGAACTGGGGGTGCTGGGTTGGTGAAGGGAGCACAGGGCAGGGGAGGCGGCAGGAGGTGGGGGCAGGGGCAGGTTTTTCCTGCCGCTGGCGCTGCCCAACTCCAGAGCTGAGTTTGCAAACTGGAAAAAGAGAGAGAGAAAGAGAGAGAGAGACTGTGAGAAAGCAGTGGGCAGGCCACCTCTGGGGCTTCCTCTCTGGGGAGCAGAATGGGGGAGGAAGGGGAAACCGCCAGAGACCCAGAGACAAAGAGACAGAGACGAAAGAGACCAGGAGATCCCAGCAGTCCCACAGAGTAGGAAGAGGCAGCCCAGACCCAAAGTTGGGCATTTCTTCCCTGGGATTCAAACTCGCAAGACCCAGTTACCCGAGGGCGGGGGGCTCCAGAGCCTTGGTTGAGCAGGGGTGAAGCAGTTTTTCAGCCTGGCCCCGCCGCTGAGAGGCCTCTGCCGGGTGTCCGGGCCCCCGCACCCCAGCTCCCCCATCCCTGGGGCAGGCCCTGCCCTGCTGCCCCAGCGCCCCGCCCAGCCCAGAGCCATACCTCTCGGCCTCGGCCACCGAGCTGGGCCGGGGGTCCCGGCCGCCTAAGATGTCGGGTTGTCCTTCCCCTGGGGCCTCTTGGCCCCAGCAGCGCGGGGGGCGCAGGCGGGAATCAGAGGCTGTCCAGTTCTCTTCGGGGACCGCACTTTGCCCCACAAGGCATCTCGGTAAAAAGTTTGCTCTCCGGAAAAGAAGGATCCCCCGCCTCCTTGGTGGAACCCAGGCGCGGCCTCTGAAGCCCCAAGGGTCTCCAGACCGGTGCGGGAAGAGGCGGCTCTGCCCCCCCCCCCCCCCCCCCCCCCCCCGACCCTCCAGGGGGAGCCGCCTGGGTGGTTGGGGCGAGTGGGTCTCCCAAAACTCCTCCGCGTGGCACGGCTGGGTCTCTCTTCGCTTCTCGGCTCCTCTCGGTTCTGTCTCTCTGCCTTTCTCTTTCTGGGCTGTTGACAACCCCCACACCAGGAAGTCCTGCCTCCTCGGGCCTGCTGACTGCTCCTCTCCTCCTCCTCCTCCTCCTCCTCCTTCCCCTCTTCCTCCCCTTCCTCCGCCCTCACTGCCTCCTGGGGCTCCTGGCCAGCTGGCCCGGGGCCAGGCCTGCCAGCACCGCTGCTGGTGGAGTTGCTGCTGCTGCGGCGGCGGCGGCGGCTGCTGCTCCCGGGGCCCCCAGAACCGGCTTAACCCCACACCTGCTGGGCCGTAGCCCAGCGCTTCCTCGGAGGGAGGGGCTGCGGAGGGCGGAGAGAAAGGGGAGGAGCTTGCGGGTAGGCCAGGGATTCCCTTACTTGTAGGCACTTGCTGCCATTGGCCTACCGATCCACAGAAGAGTGGGAAGGAATTTACCCGGGACTCTACTGGGTGCCACCCCATGAGCACCCAGTCAGTGTTTGGGTGCTGCTGCAGCTGTTAATGTATCTTTACTGGTTTCTACAGTAACGGTATGAGGAAGGTCCCGTTACCCTTCTCTGTCCTTATTTTAAAAAGTGGATTATTATGACAATCTGCAAACATGCCCCCAAGTAGAGAGAATGTGATAAAGTCCCAGGTACCCATCATGCAATTTCCACAATGATCAACTCACAACCAACCTTGGTTCATCTATACTCCCAATATCTTTTGTTGTATTGTGCTGGAGTATTTGAACCAAACCCCAGGCACCGTAGTATTCCTCTTTTTGGATGTGGATATTGAGACCCTGGAGGTTCAGAAGGCTGTCAGTGGTGCAGCTGGGACATCCTGCACACTCAGGTGTGCCCTTGTCTGGCCCTCCCGTGGAGAAACAAAGATGTGCTCAGAAAGGTGCCCACTTGGACTTGCACTTTCTCTCCAACCCTGGTCACATATACATGTGTGCGTATGCACACACAGCTACCCACACAGATGCACCTGAAGACAAACCCAGGGGGCCTAAAGCACCCCACCTCTCCCATCCCCTCCCTCCTTCGCCCTGGAGAATCCTCACACAGGCTTGAAGGGTTTACTGAGTGCTAGGTGTGAAAAAATAAGCCCCCAACCGCCATTTTCTCTTTTTTGGCACCCTCAATCAACCATCTGAGCAAAAGCAGTGTCTAAAGGCCACAACTGCCTTCACTCTTGGGCTCATTAGGAAATGGATTCTGATTCATTTTAGTCAAATAGAACTATTCTTGAGCACATTAAAAATTCCTCATATTGGTTGGCTTTACATAGTTATCTCATGGATTTTCAAAACATGAGGCTAAGCTGCAGGGTTTAGCTCCAGTGTTTCTGCCGAGGTAACTGGGGCTCCTAGGCATTCGGTTATCTGCCCTAGGCCTCGGAGCTAGTATTTGATGGCATGGAGACCAGGACTGGCTGACACATCCCCTTCTTCTTCAGCTTTAGCTCATGGAAAATTTTTAACCACTCTTCAGGGTTAGGGGAAAAAAATAATGCCTCCTGCCTCCACGTTTATATGTTTATTCTGTATTTCTTTATTAAAATGCATCTGCACTCTGCCTCTATCCCTCCATGGTAACAATAGCTACCACAGCCAGGTCCCAGGTCCTTCCAAGTCCTGAGGTCCAGGAAGCAGCCGCCCACACAAACCCCCCACTCCTCAACTCTCTCCCCTTTGGCAATATTCAGAACGCCGCCCTGCTGCTCCGCCCCCAGATCCTCCTTCCTTCAGCGCTGACTCGCTACAAACTATTCGAAATTTATCTTTGGACGCTCTCTGTCCTACCAACTCAGACACTCAGCCTCAACTTGGACTCCTCCGCGTCTACAGGCCCTGGGACATTGCTGGTCCCGGCGCCAAGTGTTTATTGCATGAATACATAAAAATTCATTCACACTAAGGTGTAAATGTGAAAGGGCTGTTATGTATTTTAATGGGTTACCTTTTTTTGGGGGGGGGACAATAATACCCCTTTAATCTATTTTACGACTTACAAATCTCCTTGTATTAATTCTTTTGCTGCCCCAACAACTTTATGGAAGTAAATATGAGATGAGGCATCTTTCAGAGAGGTTGTGTGATTTGCCCAAAGCCACACAGCACATCTGCAAAGATCTGCCATATAAGGTAAAGTGCACAGGTTCCGGAAATTAGGGGTGGATATCTTTCGGGGGTCCCTTTTTCAGCCACTTAGGGGTAGAACCCAGGTCTTCTTGCAGCTAATGTGTGGCAAAGGGATTTCCGAGGGAGGATTCCTCCGAGCTGAAGAGAAATATGATGGGGGACTGAGGAAGTGGGCGCGAGCTCGCGACCCTGAACGGCCGCCTCGTCCGCACCCGGACCGTTGCTACGGTGGTCCCAGTCAAAGGTCGACCCCTGGGGCACCCAGGACCTGGCGGGCGCCGCTGCCGAGTCAAAAGTTACTGGGGAAGGATGATTTGGGCTCCGGGGGCAGACTGGAGTAAGCCTTTGAGCTCAGGCGGTGAAACGAGGTCCGGGCGCCCGGGAGTCTTCAGGGATAGGCGAGTCAGCTCCGGTGCCCTCCCCGCACCTGGTGGGGGGGGGGGGGGCGGCAGGAAGATGGGGTGCAGCCAAGGGAGCTCGCCCCCTGCTGGGCAGAGACTCGGAGGGTCGGGCTCGCTACTCTCCGAGCCCCTCGGCCTGGAAAGCGGCACCCCCTGCCGGCCTCGTCACCCCACTGCACTCAGGGCCCCGCAGCCGCAGCCTCGCCCCGGCCCCACGCGGGGTGCGCACCCGGGAAGCGCCGAGCGCGCACGGGGTACGCGCGGGGGTGCAGGAGCCGGGCTGCCACCGGGGGGCGCCGCTACGCGCTGCGCCCCACTTTGCTCCGCCTGGGCTTTGGACACCGAACCAAACACCGCCCAGCCGTGCAGGGGCAGAGGGGCGACGAAGAGCGGACGCCTCAAAGCGGGGGCGGGCCGGCGCCAGGTCCCCCGCGCCCCGCGCCCTTTCTCCGAGTCCCCCCCCGCAGGTTCCGCGGGCTCGGCGTCCCCCGTGCCTCCCACCCCAGCCTGGCGGCGCAGCGCGGCGCGGCCGCTCCCACTCCGTCCTTGGAGGGTGTGGAAGGGTGGGTTTGGGGCCGGGGGCGGGTCTGGGGGCGGACCCGGAGGCGGGGCTGTCTCTGCGGCAGGGCCCAGCTCGGCTCCCCCCGGTCTCTCTCTGTCTCTCCTCCTCCCTCCTCCTGCTCCGGGCGGAGCCCGGCATGGGGGGGCCGGCGCCCGGCAGGCCAGGTACGGTGATGTGGAAATTGGGGAGCCTTGGTGCGGGGAGGTTTGGTGGGGGGACAGGGAGTAGTGAGGATTGGCGGGGCGAGAGACGGAGAAACCCAGGGTAGCAGGACAAGGGGAAGGGGAGGGGTGCCCGGGAACCTGGGGCCCTTGGATGGAGAGGGGAATGAAGCCGCCAGGTTTGGAACAAACAGGGAAGGGAGAGGACGGCAGTGAGGAGGGGCGCCTAGGAGGAGAGGTGAGGCCGACGGTGAAAAGGAGAGTGTGTTTGGGGGGAGGGAAACCAAAGCAGGTATGGAGGCCGCAGCTCAGAAGGTAGCTGTGGGGCCAGACTAGAGACCCCGCGGGTGGGATTGAGGGCAGGGACTGGAAGAGGGAAGCCGGGAGCCTCCCAGATCCTGGAGGAGGAAGAAGGTGATTTGGGCCATCATGGAGAGAGGTGGAGACGGTCACCGAGGGGCCAGGGTTGCAGGAATAGGGGTGGACCGAGGCCCGGGCCCAGGAAGAGGACCGGAAGGGGGACCTGCCCGCAGGGAATGGAAATAGATGTTTGGGTAGTATTGTAGATACCCAACTTGGAGTGCCCCCACCCCTTCCCCAGCATCCCCACCCTGCCCTCATGACACCCCCTGCCTCGGGGCCCAAGACGGGGTGGGGATTCAGACTGTCCCCCCTTCCCCTGTGGGGTGCGATGTACGCAAATAGGCCCCAGTATAACTCCTTGTCTGTAGGTATGTCCAGTTCTGTGTAGCCGATCTGTGTGTGTCTGGAGGTCTCTGTGTGCTGTGGGTGTGTCGGGGGTGTTTATGTCTGTATGTGTCTGCCTGATGCTAGGTTGTGTTTACCCATGCCGATCTATGTGTCTGGTCCTCTGTTTGTAGATATGGGTTCTGTGGCCTGGTGGTTTGTGTGTCTGAATGTGTGTTTGTGTGGCTGTGGGGTTGCTGTGCATTTGTGGGGCCTGTCTGTGTGGTAGATCAGGATGTATTTACAGGATGGGAATCTGTGTCGAGCTGATCTCTCCAGAATGTGTGTTTGTGGCTCTGGACATCTTTGTCAGGGTGTGTGACTCTGTGTACACATGTCCTCCTATGTCTGTCTGTCTACGGGTCCTAGAGGCAGTGTTGGGTTTTCTGTGCTTCCATCTGTTTTCCACTCTCTGAGGACCCAAGTCACATCTCCGCTTCTCTCTCTCCCTCTCTCTCTCTCTCTCTCTCTCTCTCTCATTCATTCCTGGCCCCCACCCACCCCACATCTTCCTTTTTTTCCTTCTCATCTCCACCAAGTGGATCCGGGACCCAGGGAGGGCCGCCCCCCGGGCCTGGTGGCGCTGAGCAGGGCCCCCCAGCCCCCACCTCCTGCCCCACGACATGAACCTCCTCTACCGAAAAACCAAGCTGGAGTGGAGGCAGCACAAGGAGGAGGAGGCCAAGAGGAGGTAAGGCTGCGGTCCCAGATTGCCCTCTGGGCTGTCCCACACCTCTGCTTCCCCGGTGGCTGGACCACATCCCTCTGCCCTTCCTGGCTCCAACAGCCTCGTCATGAGTCTGATCTTAGAGTCTATGCTCAGTACAGAATTGCTGGCATTGCATACACCCTGTCCCCACCCTGCTCCTGGCTCCTGGCTCCAGCCCTCATCCTGGCCTCATGGGGGGCTTCTGGCTCAGGAGCACCCTGTTGGCTCTTCCCCACCCCTGGAGGCCCGAGTCACCCCTTCCTGACTCACCTCTGGCCTGTAGTTTCCTTTCTGTCAATGTGGGGCTGGCTCCAGGCGCCCCTGTCACCTGACCTTGGTAGGGGCAGACCCTGCTACCCTCATGGTCCAGGGACTGAGTCATTTCAGGGGCACCAGAGAAGATCCATTTGCCCCCCTCCCAGCCTCCCCTGCTGGGGGAGATGAGGGGGCCAAGCGACAGGGTTTTTGTGTGTGTGTGTGTGTGTGTGTGTGTGTGTGTGTGTGTGTGTGTGTGGTGGGAGACGTGAAGGCTGGGTCCTGCAGAAGAGCCAGGGCTGGGGACCTCTCCCTGCTTGCCCTCTCTCCTTGCCCTCCCAGGGACCTGGATCCTGGCCTCTCCGCTCTCACTCCCCTCTCTCTTCATTCCCATTGACTGCACAGCCTCTTGGAGCCTGAGTCAGAGCCACCTCCCTGCTCCCTTCTCCCTCCTTTAAACTGTGGAGTTTAATTCTTTTTGTTAATTAGATTAATCAGAGCTATGACTACAGTGATCTCTCCCTAATGAAGGGTTAGTAGACAGGGCCTTAATGAGAGCCCACCCCACAGTGGCTCTCCCCTTTTCCCTGCCAGCCGCCCCTCCCTTCACTCACACAGAAGCTCAGGGACAGTGAAAGGGAATGGGGGTGAGCCTGGGAGGTTGACAGAAAGGACAGCACTGAGAGAGAGGAAGAGAGAGGGGAAGGGAGGAAAAGGATCAGCAGGAGGAGGCCGATGCGGCTGTACGGCCCTCATCTGGGAATGGAGGCGCGGTGTGGTGTGGGAGCACAGGCCGTGGTAGCCGGACGTGACGGGAGGCCAGAGACCAGGTGTGGGCCAGCGTGAGCCTGGGAGGAGCAGGGCCGTGATGGCAGGTGTATGTGCCAGACAGGGCTGTGCTGCCTGCGTGTGCATCTCTCTACCTGTGCATGAAGCCGTCCACACGAGTGCCGTGTGCCAGATATGCCCAGGCTGGGATCACACAGCTCCAGCGATACTCCTCTGCACACATACTCATCCCTTCTCTCATCCCTGCTCGCCTCTCCTCCCCAATCTCCTTGTCTTTTTTAAAGCCTAGGGATTCTGCCTGATGTTTCTAGTTTAGTGCCCTGGACCTTCGGGCAGCCTCCCATCCCCACCCCAGGCCCCTTCCTCCTCTTCCTTCTCCTCGAGGCTCCTCCTCCTCCTCCTCCTCCTTGGAGGCCACAGGGTTGCACACCCCTCTTAAGGTAGAGGAGGGGGAGGCCCAGGCCTGAGGCCCAACCTTTGTTCCATCTTTCTCTCTCCAGCTCCAGTAAGGAGGTGGCCCCTGCAGGCTCCGCAGGGCCCGGGGCCGGCCCAGGGCCTGGGGTCCGCGTGCGGGACATCGCCTCGCTGCGCCGCTCCCTCAGGATGGGCTTCATGACAATGCCAGCCTCCCAGGAGCACACCCCCCACCCCTGCCGCAGCGCCATGGCCCCACGCTCACTCTCTTGCCATTCAGTGGGCAGCATGGACAGTGTTGGGGCTGGGCCTGGGGGGGGAGGTGGGGGTCTCACAGAGGACAGCAGTGCCCGAAGACCCCCTGCCAAGCCCCGGAGACATCCTAGCACCAAACTCAGCATGGCAGGGTCGGGGGCAGACATGCCCCCAGGCAAGAAAGCAGGTGAGATACCCCCAACCCTTCCCGGGAGCTGGGGGAGCTGGGAGGATCCATTCCAGGCCAAGAGAGGCCTACAGGGGAGGGTCCATTCAGGGAAGAACCAAGGAAATGGAAGGTTCCATTCTCAGAGGGAGTGGGGGGAGGGTTGTTTCTTTTTGGAAGGGCCTGAGATGAACCATTCAAGGGTAGGGGAAGCTCCCTGAAAAGCCCATTCCTGGGGAGGGGGTGGCCTGGAAGGGACACGTGAAGGTGGAACAGAATTTAGGGTGGGAGCTGCAGATTCCAGGGAGTTCATTGGAAGGATGATAGAGCTGGCTGGTAGCAAAGGAACCTATGTGCTTTAAGTTGAGGAACATGGGGGAAATAAAGAGGCAGATATGTCCTTGCAGATGGGGTAAGAGATGAGAGGGGGTCTGCCCATCTCCTTCCCCCACTAAGAGCCCAGTTTATTTTTCTCTTTCCCATTCTGCCCAGGCTCACAGAAGCCAACCCCAGAGGGCCGAGAGTCCAGCCGGAAGGTTCCTCCGCAGAAGCCCAGGCGAAGCCCCAACACTCAGCTCTCTGTCTCCTTTGATGAGTCCTGCCCCCCAGCTCCCTCTCCTCGAGGGGGGAATCTGCCCCTTCAGCGCCTCAGTAGGGGGTCCTGCGTAGCTGGGGACCCGGAGGTGGGTGCCCAGGAAGAGGAGCCCGTGTACATTGAGATGGTGGGGGATGTCTTCAGGGGAGGAGGGCGAAGTGGAGGGGGCCTGACTGGGCCCCCTCTTGGGGGCAGAGGCCCGACCCCTCCAGCTGGTGCCGACTCGGACTCGGAGGAGAGCGAGGCTATATACGAGGAGATGAAGTACCCACTGCCCGAGGAGGCAGGGGAAGGCCGGGCCAATGGGGCCCCTCCATTGACCGCAACCTCCTCGCCACACCAGCCTCAGGCCCTGCAGCCCCACACCCACCGCCGGCCAGCTTCAGCCCTCCCAAGCCGGAGGGATGGGACACCTACCAAGACCACTCCTTGTGAAATCCCCCCACCCTTCCCCAACCTCCTCCAACACCGTCCTCCGCTCCTGGCCTTCCCCCAAGCCAAGCCTGCTTCCCGAACCCCTGGCGATGGGGTCTCAAGGCTACCGGTCCTCTGCCACTCGAAGGAGCCAGCGGGCTCCACCCCAGCTCCCCAAGTGCCTGCCCGGGAGCGGGAGACGCCTCCCCCGCCGCCTCCGCCTCCTGCTGCCAACCTGCTGCTGCTGGGACCCTCAGGCCGGGCCCGGAGCCACTCAACACCGTTGCCACCCCAGGGCTCTGGCCAGCCCCGGGGGGAGCGGGAGCTCCCCAACTCCCACAGCATGATCTGCCCCAAGGCGGCAGGGGCGCCGGCAGCCCCTCCTGCCCCAGCCGCCTTGCTCCCTGGCCCCCCCAAGGACAAGGCTGTGTCTTACACCATGGTGTACTCGGCGGTCAAGGTGACCACGCACTCCGTCCTGCCAGCTGGTCCGCCCCTGGGTGCTGGGGAGCCAAAGACGGAGAAGGAGATCTCAGTCCTCCATGGGATGCTGTGCACCAGCTCGAGGCCCCCAGTGCCTGGGAAGTCCAGCCCCCACAGCGGGGCCATGGGCGCAGCAGCTGGGGTCCTCCACCATCGTGGCTGCCTGGCCTCCCCGCACAGCCTTCCGGACCCAACCGCAGGCCCCCTGACTCCCCTCTGGACCTACCCAGCTGCAGCAGCTGGGCTCAAGAGACCCCCTGCCTATGAGAGCCTCAAGGCTGGGGGGGTGCTGAATAAGGGCTGTGGAATGGGGGCCCCATCCCCCATGGTCAAGATCCAGCTTCAGGAGCAAGGGACCGATGGGGGTGCCTTTGCCAGCATCTCCTGCGCCCATGTCATCGCCAGTGCAGGGACACCAGAGGAGGAAGAAGAGGAGATGGGCGCCACGACATTTGGGGCAGGCTGGGCTCTACAGAGGAAGGTCCTGTATGGAGGGAGGAAGGCAAAAGAGCTGGACAGTGAGTGAGGGGTAGGAATTTGGGGGTGGGGGACTGGGGATGCCCGTGATGATTTCAGGGAAGTGTTGGAAGGGTTATTTGGAAGCCACAACCCATTGTCCTGAAGTGGGAAGTTTTCAAGGAGACCAGAGAATAAGGGCATGCAAGAGACTGAGGGGAGGGGGTCCCCACATGTTCACTGGAGGGGCAAGGAAGATCTGCAATGGGAAGGGGCTGGAATCTGGCCCCAAGAGTAGCCTCCTGCCCGGTCCTGCTCTACTCCCTGCCCTTCCCTTTGCTAGGCTGCAGGGGTGTGTGTTTGTGAGTGTGCGCACACGAAGGGCTAAACACAGCTGCCTCCCAGCTGTTGCCATGGCAACCCATCCAGACAGGAGGGAGAGGAGAGGGAGGCCCCTACCGTTGCCTGGCAACGCAATGCTCTGCCAGGCCTCCTCTTGGAGCTGAGCTTAGTTCACTTGCAGCCCTTCCCCCAACAACCTCCCCCTTCCCACTTCCTGGCTCAGG